TGGCATCGTTATTTTAACCGTAAAATATTAATCTGACGGTTGTAATAAATTAAAAAGTTGACTAGAAAAAATTATGACAATTAATGAAATTTGATTCTTATCACTTCACTTTATCAAATTTCTATATTTCATAGCACCATTAAAAACCCATCTATATAGATGAATTTAATTAAGGGCCTTGGAAAAACCTACCTCTTTGCTTTGAAGTTTTTGGTTTCTAAATTTTAGCAAACACCTATATGAGATTTGAATGTTGCTATTTCGGTGAGTTGAACTCAACTATTAAGAAATATATAAAAATCGTGGACAAGTCAACTTATAAGTTGCAAGTTAGCATATGTCAAGTGTATCAAATTTGAAATTAACGGCAAATGTCAATATTTTTAAAGTAAAACGTCTAGATCACAATTTAGGAAGACAAATGCATTGAATATTTTTGTATTTTCACACCATGCGTGGAACGATCCTATGTGAATGTTGTTTAGCCATGAGAGTCAATCTTTTTTTTTTTTTTTTTTTTTTTTTTTTTTACCCCACATTGCATGCCATGTGCTCAAGAATTCTTCGCACATGTGTATTTAATGTCCTTCTTTATTTAAAGTAAAAGGGAAAAAAATAAAATAAAATTTCCTTTGTTAATTAGTGAACTATATGTGCGAGTTATTTTTTATCTAAATTTTTTTTTAATTTTGTTTTTAAATTTAGTGTGCGAGATTTAAACTCGACATTTATAGATATTTTATAAAAAAGTCAAATGTGACATTACCGTTAGGTTATATATTTGCAACCGCAAAGTTTCCCAGATGTCCGACTTTGAACAATACACCAAAAGTTAGTTATTCTAACTAAAGAATCTTTGGTAGCATGGTCATGCAATACCAAATGAGAAATCTTTATAATATTCCTTATCATGATTATTAGGATATACAAATTTACTTGTAAAAGTGTGAGGAATCCTATGTCATTGTTAACAGGTCCAAGAATTATATGTAAATTTGTGATCAATCATAAAGATACCGTGATAATTACCGGTGGTAATCTATAGTATTGTTATCCTAACAAAAAACAATAGGAGCTATATGATCATGCATACCATTTCAAATGCGAACTCTATATAACACCTCTTACTATCTAAATACAAATTCAAGTTTTAACTCACTCAAACACAAACTCAAATAGATTCTCAATTCAAACCATAACTCAAAATGTACACATCCAAACACAAACTCAAATTAGAGTCTCAACTCAAACCATACTCAAATACACCTTAACTCAAATCAAGATCTGAACTCAAGTCACCTTAATTCAAACGAACAAGCCCTAAGTAAGTTGAATCTCGACCTTTACAAAAAAATAAGATCTAAATCCCCCTTTAAAAATATAAAGTATTAAAGGGATACTATAGAATATTTCAAGAGAGATTTAATTAATAAGGTGACCTAAGTAGAATGAGGAAAGACACCGTCATTTTTATTACACCGTCATTTGTCTGATTTGAGCGTCGGAGTGCCTTTTGTACATCTCTAGCGGTAGTGAAGATGGAGAACTGTGGAGAAAATGAAGCATCTTTGATGTTGTGATTTTGATCACTCCAACTACATAGTTTGGTCAAAACCTCCAACTGCCAAAACTGAAGAAAAGATGGCAAACAAAAGAGAAAAGGAAAAAAAAAGAAGGAAGCAAATTTTTAAAGAGGAGATTCTCAATCCACGTGGGAAACTCTTACGTAGGAAACGCACATAATAGCATCTTGTTTTGGAGGGATCATTCAAAACCTTTTGCATAATAATAGAGAGATGACGTGGCGGACAAGGTAGTTCTAACTTCAAGTTGTCAAAGTGGGTCCCATGCCATGGCATCTGCAGCCAGTGACATGTGTACACGTGTCAGACTATCCAATAAGTTTGAAACGTTTTTGTGAAATTAGTGGGAAAAAAATAAAATGAAATGAAATAAAGTGGACCAAAAACTGATTCACCTCAATGGGAAAGAGAGTTAAATTTTTGGATGGTGTTTGATTCTTTTCAAGATTTGGTTGGCTATCTTTTACCCCCCTAATGCTTGTCAAATTACTATTTTTCTCTTTTCTCTTTGTCGGTCTCATTGTCTGCTCTTTAGATCCCATTTTGGATAGTAACAATTACAAGAAAAAAATTGGACAATTTTGTATGTTGACTAATCCATATGAATGCTCAACCTCCAAACCAAGGGTGAAAGAAAGTAGCCCTTTTTCCCTTTGGTAATGAAAAACTAATTATAATTTTTTTTTTTTGAAAATAAAACTAACTATAATTTGATCACATCTAATTTGTATTCTCAAATTTTTAATATGCCGATATATTCTTATTCAAAGATCGAAGTATTTAAGATCAAGAAGTTTTGCTTATTCAAGTTTAAAAAAAAAATTAAATTAAATTTTTGTGAGAGAAATATTATAGCGAAAATTTAAGTCATGATTTAAAACGAGGCTATAAACTTCCTTGCCTTGATCGAATCCAGCCTTCCCCTTCCAAATTTCAAGAAATCCAGCTTCCCAATTAAGCTAACTTATTTAATTTAATATTTAGACAAATTATTCGAATAAAAGAACATTTCAAAAAACAAAAAACAAAAAAAAGTTTTTCCTCCTTAGGCCTTAGGTAAGAAAGTTGATTCAGAAATTAATTATTCCAAGAAACCATACAAATTATTTGCTGGTTTTATAATATTTATGGTCTGCTATTTTTGGACCAATGATATCCAATATGGGCTCCATTTATCTTGGTGAGTATTGTGGTGAATATTTCCATTTTCAAAAAACATAGCTTTACAAAGGGCAATATATATACTATTATCTCATTACATAATATAATGGAATATCACACTTTATATGTATGTTAATTACCTTATAGAATCATGCATGTACCTAAGAGATAAAGACAATAAAAGTTTATTATAGTAGTCCAACTTTCATTTTCACAACCAAATATGGCCAAATTCTAGCCTTTTCAAGACTCATGAAGCAGAAATTTCAATGAAAAAGAAAAGTAGCCGAACAATAGACATTTTTATTTTTATTTTATTTGTTGCAAGAATCACATTGGAAGAGGAAGTTAAAGATAAGGAAAGGAAAGAATTTCTTTTGGGAACAAAAGAAGGTTTCCCACCTTTCTTCTTGGGTTTTTCTCAAATGGCATTTTCAGCAAATAGATACAAATATGTATACGTATGTTTGAAAAAATAGTAATCACAATATAAAATGAATGATATTAAAAGATAACAGATTGCAAACAAGTTGGTCAAGAAAAGTAGCCTAAATCACAAGTACAATGCCACGATTATTTTTATATATAAATATAGTATTAAATTCCTTCAACTTACCGAATCTCATTAAATTGTAGGAGGTGCAATAAAAAAAAATTCTCAACTCTATGAGAATTTTTTAACAGGAAGACTTAAACTTAAGGGCTTGTTCTTTTGAGTGAAAAACTCAAAAAAATGTAATTCGAATTACAATTTTATTCGAGTTCATGTTCTTTTAAGTTTAAACTCGAGTTTAAACTCGAGTTCTAACTTGAGTTTAGGACTAAAACTCGAGTTCAAGTTTTCCCTTCAACTCGAGTTCAGAAACTCGAACTCAAATTAATTAACAGTATTTTTTCTATTCTTAAAAATGCTATAACTTTTTCGTTTTAATTCTGATTAAGATGATTTTTTTTCTATGCGTTGACAACGAAAAGACGAATAAAACCCGACCTATATACACTATTAAAAATTTTCATCAGCATTGAGTTTTTATTAAAATACTATCTAAATACAAATTCAAGTTTTGACTCACTCAAACACAAACTTAAAAAGATTCTCATCTCAAACCATAACTCAAATGTACACAACCAAACACAAACTCAAGTTACAAGTTCAACTCAAGTTATAACTCAAATTCAACTCAAGAATTATACTTAAGTTAAACTCCAAAAGAACAAGCTCTAACACTCTTGGTTTTCAAATAAACATTATAGAACTATTGCAAACTTCATATCCAATGGTTTATAAGAGATCTCATTGACCTTTAAGATTCCCTTAATTAACTTTGTAGTATTCTTAATGATAAAAAGTACAAACCGAAAATGTAGCACTAGTTCTTAATTAAGTATGAAAATTTAAAGACCAAAAGCAACTTTTTTGTTATGTAGTATTTCAAAGTTCATTAGAAAATCATTCAAAAAAAAAAAATGTTCATAAGAAAAAGTTGATGATTTATTTATTTATTATTTTTTTAAGGGGGGCATAAAGCTTGATTTTCAATACATAATCATTGGTCAAATTTATCAATTGACGGTGATTATGCTAATCTTTTATTTAATATATATATATATATATATTATCTGTATGTATAACTTTTAAATCTTTTTTTCTTGTGTTAGCTCAATATCCTAGGCTCCTATAGACATCTTGCATGGCTAAGGAAAAAAAAAAAAAAAAAACATTTCGAAAAAAAAAAACAACAACAGGAGTAAAAATGGTTAAACAAATAAAAAAGAAACAATAATTATAAAAGCTAACAAACTGCATTTTTTTTAACTATTCCATGGCTTTTCATTTTTACTTTTTTTTAAGAGTTATATTTAATTATTCCATTGACTTGCCAATGTAACCATGGGTGACATCAATGTCATGACTATTCTCTCCTCCATATTATGTGTCTCTTACTCTATACATATAACTCTTACTCTTACTCTTACTCTCTAGCCCATAAAAAATTTTAAGCATATTCATACTGATATTTTTCACATCTCTCTCTCTCTCTCTCTCTCTCCCAATCAAAGTTGAAGAATATAGTGAACCAATGAAGATATAAACATCTTTGTATATTCTTTTACTTTGCCATGATCATTCATTTTGAAGTGTTTATATTCAGCAATGGTTTTCTTTGGCTTATTAACACCTTTTGCTTTTGTTCTTTTATTATGATTATTTATCCAGGAATGAGTTGATTCAAGGATTCAAAGAAGAACTTTTTTTTTCTCTTTTTTTCCTCAAGCAGAGTTTGGTAGTTTTGAAGTGTGGAAACAATTGTACATTTCTGGGTTGTGGTTGAAACAGAAAGAATGTTGTTGGAGAAGAACTTCTGGATGATAGTTGTATTGCTTCTTTTAGGAGTTGCAGATGTTTTTCATACTGTAGAAGGCAGGCCTCGCCGGATTCTTTTGGATACCGACGTCGATACCGATGATTTCTTTGCTTTCCTTTACCTCTTGAAGCTTAACAGATCAGAGTTTCAGTTGGAGGTAAGTTTTTCCCCCCCCCCCCTTTTTTTTTTGGTTATTATTTTTACTATATTATGTTCTGAAATCTGCCTTTTGAAAAGTTGTTTGGTGTCAATTTCAGCAAGTTATGACTGGAAAAGGAATTTGATCCTTTTTCCTTTTTTTTTTTTTTCTCAATTGAATCAATGAGGATTTTATGAGTACATAGATAGTTGTAGGTGCAGAATTTTCCTACGGTCTCTGTGAAACTTGTTGTTCATGCTATTTTAATCTTGAGACATTATTATTATTAACATTATTATTGTTGTAGTTATTAATATTATCATTAACTATTTTTATGTATTCTTTTTTGGACATTATGATCTTATCACTTGTTATTTATATTTTCATGGTCAAAGGAGAAAATAACTCTTTGTCTAATTAGGACCACAATAATGCTGGCAATTAGCTGTGAATTTGTATTACTATTACATATTTTTTACTTCTGAAAGCTCTTATTAGTACAATTAGGACAAAGCAAATGATTTCTCATGTTTCAAAAGCTGCTTTTTGCTAACCATACTATATAAGCTCCAACAGACACAAAAAAAAAAAAAAGTAACCATAAAAACTTACATTGATTAAGGCTGTCACTATCAACACAAACGCTTGGACTGATGCTGGACATGCAGTGAACCAACTCTATGACATCCTTTACATGATGGGCCGCGACGACATTGCCGTGGGAGTCGGAGGCGAGGGAGGAATACAAGAAGATGGCACCATTCTCCCAAATGTTGGTGGATATCTTCCCATAATAGAACAGGTAATTTGTTTTCTTTCTAAAACTCGAATCGTCGAAAAATGTCTGCCCGGACATTTTCGCTTCTATTTTTTTTTCCGAATGTCACCAACCTTATATTATGTTAATGTTGTTACACCTATGAATTCAGCTAATTTATGTTCAATGTGTTTTAGGGGATGACAACATCAGGAGGGTGCAGATATAGACAAGCCATTCCTGTAGGTCCAGGTGGTCGTTTGGATATTGACTCAAATTATGGCATCAGAAAAGCCTTCCTTCCACAGGTATATAATTATGGGAGAAAGAGGGAAATAGGCTAAGATTTGAGATGAATTAAAATTAATAGGTCAATAGTTTACATAAGTTAATAAATAGGCCAAATTACTGTTTTCGTCCATAACTTGTCTGGTTATGAACCATAACTTGACAAGTTATTGTCTATAATTGTCCATAACTTGTCTTGCTATGAAATATTACTTAACAAGTTTGTCCATAACTTATCTGGTTATGAACCATAACTTGACAAGTTATGGCCTATTAATTTCTGTAACTAAAAATTAACCTATATACTTTCTTAAACTTTTCATATTGACATATTTTCTACTATTTCCCTATAATTATTTTAAAGTTATCATAACCTTTTATGAATTTCTATTCCAATTCTGCTTGCTCTGGGCCTAGTCATTTTTGTCATTTACAAGTCGGACCCCAAACTTCTAATTTTGACATTTAGGATCTTAAGTTTGCAATTCTTCGAAATACAATGCAGTCAATAACAGATGTCAATTAATGAACGACAATTGGAATCCGAAATAACAAAATTAAAAAGTTCAAGATCCAACTTGCCAACCGACAAAAGTTTCGAGATCATTTCATGACATAGACTCAAAGTGCATGTGTGCAAAACCCTTTATAGATATGACTAAATTGTAGTGTTTTTTTTTAGTGGATATATTGGAAAATCAATTTTTGCTCACTCCGCAATCTGCATTAATAATTGGATATCAACTACTTATAGTCTTATATGAATTTAGCTTACAAAATTTTATTATGATTTAGGGGCGCAGGAGATATACACCTCTAAAACAACCAACTACTCAGCAAGTAATGTATGAAAAAATATCTGCAGGTCCTATAACGCTCATAATCATTGGAGGACATACAAATTTCGCCATATTCCTTATGAATCATCCACACTTGAAGAAAAACGTGGAGCACATTTATGTCATGGGCGGAGGGGTGAGATCGAAGAACCCGACCGGTTGTTGCCCCAAGAATTCCTCCTCATCTTGCACTCCCCGGCAGTGTGGTGATCCTGGCAATCTGTTCACCGATTACACCAGCAATCCTTATGCAGAGTTCAATATCTTTGGAGACCCTTTTGCAGCATACCAGGTAATAAAAATGATGCCATGTTTTTCCGACATTTTGAAGAAGCTAAAAGTGACTACGTCGATTCTGAGATAGTGACACAAGAGCATCTTCAATGCAATGCCAATGTCAAATTTTAGCATTTGATTAGTAAAATCACTTTCTAATCCAATGATATTTCTGGTGTTAAATTTGACTTATTTGGCACCAAGTATTGCTTATGCCAAATTCTGGTATTTGATTGCTATTAGGTGATGCATTCACTTTTTCATTTAATCATTACAAAGCTTAATAATCACATCAAAAATTAGATATAGTATGTGAATTGGTATTATGCATTAGAGCACAAAGTAAAATAGTATATCAAATATGTTATTTTTGGCTTTTTTTTTTGCGCCAAATATAGCATTGACATCGACGTTTGCATTGGAGATGGTCTAAGGACAGATTTTTCAGGTGTTTCATTCTGGTATTCCAGTCACCCTTGTTCCCTTGGACGCCACAAACACCATTCCCATAAATGAGGACTTCTTTCATACATTTGAGAAGACTCAGAGAACATATGAGGCACAATATCTCTTCCAATCATTGAAGATGGCTCGTGACACTTGGTTTGATGACCAATTCTATACGGTAGTTTCCTCATTGCAATGTTTTCATTTTCATGAAAAGGACTTTCTTCTCTTAATGACATTTCTTCTATATAACATCTTTTTTTTTTAATTTAATTTATTTATTTTTTTTTTACTATTTGCAGAGCTATTTCATGTGGGATTCATTCACATCTGGTGTGGCAGTCTCAATCATGAGTAAATCACATAACCACAATGGGGAAAATGAGTTTGCTGAAATGGAGTACATGAACATTACTGTGATTACTTCAAACAAGCCTTATGGGTTATCCAATGGATCGAATCCATTCTTCGATGGCCGCAAAATTCCGAAGTTCAACTTAAAGAAAGGTGGAGTTCATAGTGGTCATGTTCAAACAGGACTTAGAGATCCATTTTGCTTTGTGAAGAATGGGAAAGGGAGATGTAAGGTACATAGTTGCTTTACTATATAACACTTAGGATTATTCTCACTTTTGTCCCCGAACTTCATGATCATTTCCACTTTACTTTCTAAACTTTAAAAACTTCTATTTTACCCTTGAGTTTTGAATTAGTCCCACGAAAAACATATATGGAAAAGGAGGATGTTAAGTGCAGTCACGTGGTATCTTTCCATTAAAAGTAAATAGAAAAATACCACGTGACTGCACTTAATGGAAATTCTAATAAAAAGAGTTAAGTGAGATTAATTCAAATTTAGGGAGACAAAGTATGCGTTTTAAAATTCGAGGAGCACAAGTGAGATTGATCCTATCATTTATAACAAACTTCTTTACTAAAAATTTATGTTTTTGGTCTAGTGCCTCTAATCCTAAAGCTTCCTAGAACTTGAAAACAGGATGGTTATACAACTGAGGTAACTGGACCTGAAGCAGTAAGTGTCCTTGTTGCAACAAAAGCAAAACCAAATTCAGATCTTGACAGCCCACTTAATAGAGCATTTTATAAAAGTTTCTTAGATGTAAGTCAAACTAATATCTATTTCTTTAACTGAGATTCTGCTTTCAATGTTCCTTGCTCTCAATATGGCCCCATCTAAATGTTACGAAATCCTTCTTTTCGAATTCGCAGCTTCTAAACAGTCCTCGACACAGTGGGAAATTCAACTTCACAACGCAGTTTCCTTATTACAGAAAAGTTCTTTACAAGCCAGATTTTGCAGGGAGGAGGCTTGGGAAACCGGTTGTGTTTGACATGGACATGAGCGCCGGAGATTTTCTCGCGCTGTTTTATCTCCTCAAAGTACCTGTGGAAGTGATCAATCTCAAGGTAAAGAATGATTTTCGTTCTTCTTTTTTCAGTTCATGAACAGTAAGTGAAATGACATCTTTCCATTGATAAGTACAAATTTTTAATATTGATTGACTTGTCAATTTTCTCAATACTTGCTAATAAAAAGATGACAGCTCGGTCTCCACACGCCAATTATTATTTAAAGGTTGGTATAAGGACGAGGATATAATATATATTTATATAACAGAAGCAGTAGTAAATTTTCATTTGTGTGGTCTTTGTTCTCTTGCAAATGTAGGCAATAATAGTAAGCCCAACTGGGTGGGCAAATGCGGCAACAATAGATGTCGTTTATGACTTACTTCACATGATGGGGAGAGATGACATTCCAGTTGGTCTTGGAGAAGCATTTGCAATGAACCAATCCGACCCAATCTTCTCTGCAGTTGGAGACTGCAAATATGTCAAGGCGATCCCACATGGAAGTGGAGGATTTCTAGACTCCGACACGCTCTATGGCCTTGCTAGAGATTTGCCAAGAAGTCCTAGAAGGTACTCATAATTTGTGTATTATGTTAGTAGAAGCTTTCCTCGATAGAGTAACCATTTCTGAACGTTACATCCGGTAAAAAAGTATGTAAAACTGATAGAATCTGATACAGATTTAATAGTTCGAAACAATCTTACTAGTAGGGTATTTTTTCATATCCTACCGTAGGAATCTTGGCTTTGTGATAGAGTGAAACTAAAATGTTTCGAGTTTTGGTTGAGACCTTAGGTATACAGCAGAGAACTCTGTTAAATATGGAGCTCCAAGGAACACAGATCATCCTGAACTACGCCAAGCACTTGCCAGTGAAGTTTGGGAGTCCATATTGACAACACTTGAACCAGGTTCCAAGATTACAGTGCTCACAAATGGACCCTTGACTAATTTAGCCAAGCTTATTTCATCAAACCAAAAAGCAAGCTCCCTAATTCAGGTTAGTAGTTGAATAGAATTTGAGAATTTGTTCCTGTATATGCAAGTCTTCTCCATTTTTTCTGTCCTATTCTTTAGCTAGTTGAATCAGAATTTTAAGAAACTGTGAAGTGAAGTGCATATGTTCGTTTTTATTATTCGCATGACCAGTAACGGATCGACTTTACTTGACAATTTTGACTTATTATGTAGAAAATTTTCTCTAAAATATCAGTTGTGTTACTATTTAATAAATTGTAACCGTGTCCCATTACGTGTAAAATCTTATAACAATGCCGCCATCAAACAAAAATTATGTCTTATATTTTTCAAATTGTGAATTTTTTGGCTCGACCAATGCACACAACATGTACAAATATAGTTGGATGAGCAGAGAACAAGATAGGAAAATTGGATAGAGGATTTGATTCTGGTAACATTTGCTGATTATATTTATACTCTTTTTGCAGCATGTATATGTTGTTGGGGGACATATCAGCAGTGGTCATATGGACAAAGGGAACGTATTTTCAGTTCCTTCAAATAAGTATGCAGAGTTCAACATGTTCCTTGATCCTTTGGCTGTAAAGACAGTCTTCGAATCGACGCTCGACATCATGCTCATTCCGCTTGGCGTCCAGCGCAGTGTCTGTTCATTTTCTAAGATCTTAGAAACGATGAAAACAATGAAAAGGACAGCTGAGACCCGGTTCGCCCTGCGTTTGGTGTCGAGGCTACGTGACTTGAAAGAACTGCATAGTAGATATCAGCATATGGTAAAGCTTGTCAACCATAAACTTTCCTTATTTTGGGATGTAAATTCTCATCTTTCTACTTTCATGGTGAAAGGAAAATCCATTTTCTTTTGTCCCCAAGATTTGCAAAATGAAATTGTGTTTTTATTTAAATTGTAGGATACTTTTTTGGGAGAAATTCTTGGTGCTGTTTTCTTGGCTGGTGATCATTCCCATCTTAACACATCTTTGAAAATCAAGCCCATCAAAGTTTATGCCCAAGGAATTGAAGCAAAAGATGGGCAAACTTGGGTTGATGAAAAACAAGGAAAATCAGTCAAGATTTTGGAGAACATAAATCCCATGGCATATTACAATGTTCTTGCAAAGCAGCTTAGTGATGAGAAGCAATCTGCTGTGATAGCAAGTTATGATGAACAGAAAAGAATATGGATTAAACCTCCTAGTTAAGACTCCAAAAAAAAAAAAAAAAAAAAAAAATCTCTGACAGAACATAATTTATTTTTGTTTTTCTTTTTCTTGAGATGCAGAAGCTTGATTTGTAATGGTTATAATTCCTCACACAGAGATGTTTAGTCAGATGAAATGTTCCAAGCGGAAAATAGCTCAGTTGAAGCAAAAAAAAAAAGAAGGTGACACATAGAAACAAAGAAAAATGCAATTAGATTGTTCTTTTGTCTTTTATTTGTTCTAACAAAGCCAAGCTCAAAATTGTCCATTGTTTCTGTTGCTTGAATGTATGATTATGATATCAACAGTTTGTCATGACTCATTGGAAGCAAAAAATTCTAGAATTTTCCTTGCCTGGTCATTTTTTTTCCAGAAAGAAAGTCCTGTAATACATGATAAAACAAAACTTGATTTGTCAGAATTTGGGATAATATAATAATTTTTCAAAAGAAAACATAAAATTATGGTACTTCTTTGTTTCTTATGATCAAGATATTTTATGATGTGTGATTATTCTTGCCCAAATAGTATATCCATAAATTCAGAATGAAAATATTCCCTTCACCTCTAGTTTCTTGCTCTCTTTGGGGGTCCTTTTTCAGTTTTTTGCTAACACCACATATGGGGTATCACCACATATGCGTTAATGTTGCAGAATTTTTTAATAGAAGATTGGCTCTTCACGTGGAATTTTTATTATTATGTTCACTCTAAACATTAATAGTCTATTTGGATCACACATTTAAATAAGTGATTTTGATTTTAAATTTAAATTTTGTAAGAGAACTCATTAGTAGGAATTTTTTTATTCAAAATTTTTTGAGAGAAAAATATTATAACAATAACATAATAAAATTAGAATTTCATAACGTGATTAAACGAGTCCTAAGTTCTTTCGTAGCGTTTAAAAAAAAAAAAAAAAACAAGACAAATATTAAACTCTTTCACCTAGCGTGCTCGGTGCATGCATGTTCATCATTTCCCATATGCTAGTTATTCTCATTTTTGTCATGGTCTAATATTTAGATTTGATTTGGTTCGTTTACCTAGATATATGTTTTATTGTCGTTATTTATTCTCAGGATTCTTTTATACTGTTAGGGAATATTCTCAATACTATATTAAGAGATACAATAATTTGTAAAACTTTACATCAAAACTTACAAACTCAAATGATAAAATTGTAAAAGTTACGATAATCTATAAAATTTGAATTTTACAATAATTTACGTTAAAACTTATAAACTCGAACGATTCATCATAAAATTAAAAAATTGCACAAATTATCGTTCGAATTTGTAATTTTATCGTTTGAGTTTGTAAATTCTAACGTAAAATTTCACAAATTTTCGTATCTCCTGATACGGTGCCAAAAAAAAAATATCCCGACAACATAAAAGAACCCAAAAAATCTCCTCCTAATGGACGTTTTCATCATATTCTGTTAAATTATATTATTTTTTAATTCATACTCCGATATTATGATGTAATATAATAATTTAAAACTTCTAGTCACCTGTTTTTTCATACCCTACCCACATAATTTCTCTATTAAATTAAAAAAAAAAGCATAAAAAAGAACCTGGCCATTAAAATATATATATATATATATATATATATATATATATATATATATATATATATATATATATATATATATATATATATATACACACACACATATATATATACGTATATATATACACACACACACACACACACACACACACACACCAAGCAGAAAAGATGTGGTATCCTATGCTACCACTAATTTCCAGGTTTGTTTGTGCAACACTTTCCATGAAAGAGAGCTCCCACAAATCAACGGTTGACCTTGAAAGAATCATATCTTTCAAAACTAGATTCATAATCCTTTTGATTTGCCACTATAATCCATTAAACTATTATTATTATGATTTATGAGCTTCTAACGCCATATTTTTCTCAATCTTTGCCAGCAAGAATGCCAACTAAGAACTACAATGATGCGTCATACACAACAGTAAACAACTAATAAAAACAATGATGATTATGATGATGAATATGGCGACTTTGTTTAGGAAACATTGACTGTGAATCAATAACAATTCCTATTCACATTTTGGATGGTTGAAGATGAACTATCATTAAGATAAATACCATAAGCTGAAGGAAAATAATACTCATAATTTAAAAAGAAATCATTACACACTATAAAACTAAAATAATACTTGTCATGGTAATTAGAAAAGTAAATTTTTACACTTTTGCCTTAATGATATTCAAAATAAAATTTTTTCATCATTGATCTTGGCTAAAATACATCACTTGATGCAATTTTTATTTTTATTTTTAATTTTTTTCTACTGCATAGCTTAGGACATAACTAGATTTTCTGAGATAATTAATCAAATCACCTAATTACAATAATGAGATTGAGATGGCACAACTTTTTCCACTGTGAAAATTGGAAGTACCACTGAGGCTTGATGATAAAAAAAAAAAGTGGCACTAGATTGAGAAAAAGGAAAAAGAAAAAAGGCAAAAAAAAAAAAAGGGAACTCCTTCTCAGGGAATTCATACAAAGCACAAGTTCATCAGTTGAAAAAGAGGAACACTAATACAAGACAAGTTAAAGTGTCTGAAATACTTGTAACATTTTCTCTACAACAAACCCAAACTTTTTTTGTCTGAATTTTTTGAAGCCCTTTTAGAATCCTAATTCAGTCATTGGGATTGACCCACCAGCTGCCACAATTTGTTGCTCCAGCTACAAAAACATGAATATAGTCAAATTATATGTTCATATATATATATATATATATATATATATATATCTATACATATCACATGAATCACCATTTTTTCTTTTTGCAAAGCAAGAAAGAAACAGCTTTAATTTTTCTTTCCTCTTACCCGGAATAGATTTTCAAGCTTATTCTTCACCATGTTGTACTCATGTTTTACTTGTTGAAGACATCCAATGCACCTACAAAACAACAATTCAACTCAAACTTCCAATTCAAAGCCAGCCTTTTCTTTTTCAAGATTATTTTTTACTGATTTTATGAACTTTCAGATTTATATAAAATAAACTGAACATGTTCAAGAGCAAAAAAATAACTGACCCTTCAATATTCTGCTCCTCACAGTAGTTGCGCAAAGCAATGCAGGCATTTTTAACTCTCTGTGCACCTATGCTGTTATATATTAAAAAAAAAAAAAAACCCATGAAAAAACAGCTTTTTCCATATAAAAAGTCGTACTTCTGTCCATTGCCTCAGATCTGTGCTCGAATAGTGTTCTTATGAGATTTTAATCTACTAGAAACGATGCAAATAACGGCTTCAAAGTTGGTAACATAAAGGAAAAACAGTATCAGGGTCAATATATATATATATATATATATATCTATGTGTGTATATATATATATATATATATTGTACGTGAATCATAATTGCAAAGCAGGATCTAGAAAAGCTCAAATTTTTTACTTTTTTCACATAGGAAAAAAGAAGAGAGAAAAATAAAGATGAGAAATTTATATGTACCTGGAGCTGCTACCTTTCAACTGGTGAACATGGGCATCAACTCTTTTGAAGTCAACACTTTGCTGACCTCTGAAAATGGAAAATTTTTCATGAATTATTCAAAGCATCCCAAAAGCCAAAAAAAAAAAAAAAAAAAAAGCAATTCATTGTATATACATACGCAGACAAATAGAGAAAGAGAGTCTTGAAAAGAGAGAGAGAGAGAGAGGAAGTTGAATCCTTACAGAGCTGAAGTGAGATCATTGAGAAGCTTTTCAGAATCTTCAAAGAAGAGAGAAACCACTTCCACAACAAAATCTGGGTTGCTCTCATCTTGGAGCTGCTGAAGCTGTAGAAACTGACCATCCAGAAATCCCTTCTCACACACACAAAAAAAAAAAAGGAAAAAAAAAAAAAGAGAAACCCAGAAACAAATCCCAGAAAAGTAAAACATAAAGATAAGAACTGAACAAGAGCAGATCAGAAGAAGCACCAAAAATGAACAAGAAAAGGGAAAAGTAGAAAAGACCCATTTGAGATTTGTGCATATATTTTACATTTCAAGTGGTTTCATTTTTTTTTGTTTTTACTATTATTACCTCCAAGAACAAAGATTTTGTGTAGTCAAGCCACTGTCTTTGCATCTGCCCCACCTCCATTTGTGTTCTTCTCTAGTTCTCTCTCTCTACACACAAACAACACAACCAAAACAGAAACAGAACAATCTTCTTCTGTTTTTAAAGCTGTGACCCAATAAATAAATAAAAAAGCCTCTGCCTTTGAATTGCAGATCTTGAGGAATTATTGCACAATCACAAAGAGAGTATAAATGCTTGGAAACCTTGAAAGGGATTTATTTGATGAATTAATGTGCACACCAAAATGCCAATTTTTTTTTTCTCTTTTGCAAAGCTTTTGGGCTAATCTCTACTGGTCTCTATATACCACTAGTAGAGTCTTGCCCTTCCTCTTTTTTTTTCTTTTTTTTTTATCCCCCTCTGGATTTGTGCTCCGTTTGGACTTTTGAGTATTTTCTCTTATTTAATTTGCATCATATATGAGCAGTTAAAAAAAATAAAAAACAATCTCTCTCTCTCCTTTTTTTAATATTTTTTTGTTATCATGTCTCTAATTATTCCCACCTCCATTTTTTGTTTTTGTTTTTCTTTTTATCAATAGTGTCATGGAAACTATTGGTTCTGATCAAATTAGTTTTTCATTTTTTTTTTCGTTTTCGAATGATATATTAAAAAATTACACATGGGTTTGGCGTATAAGTGACTTCAGCTTTCATTTTGATGACTTAGGAAAATATTGCTTAAATAAATAAAGAAAAATTAAAGATTCTACCAAAAAAAAAAAAACACAGAAGTAATTGAATGGATTAATTATCAAAAAAAAAAAAATTTGAATGGATTTCTTTTTCATTTTCTTATAGATTTCTTTCTAAAGTTCTTCTAGAAGTTCTCGTGAAAATGTAAATCATAACCACCATATATATGGAAGGCTACAGAAATTGTCACTAAAGAACATGAGACTCTACTCTTATGTATATTTATACATATGCATATTTTCATGTGTAGTTATATTTATTATTGCATACATGATGAGAAATAACATCACAATCACACAAGTGATAGTTTATCAAAATTATATATAATTTTTTTTTAAATTATGTGTTAATCTCACAAATGTTCCTTGAAGTTTAGTCACAATCTCATTTTAATTATTGACTTTTTAAACGTCACACAGTTGATCTCTGAGATTTTATTATGTTTCAGTCTCGGTTCTTCTGTTAGTTTTAGAGACTACAATAATACAAAAATCAAAAGTTAATTTCCACAGATAGACCCAAAATTTTAGTTGTTTCTAATTTTATACTCTAATTTACACATATTCTGTGAAATTTTAGCGTCTAATTGATGGAAGGACAGAAAATGAAACAAATAAAACCTTAAGAACATCTGTGTGACATTTAAAAAGTTATGGACTAAAGTAGAATTGAGTGTAAACCTTAAGAACTATTTGTGAAATTAACCTTAAAATTATATATAATTGTTTTATTTATTTATTTATTTTTATAGAATATGTTTTTTTTCCCTTATTACCAGGTATCTAGGATGCATCCTAAGGTGATAAATAACATTACCAAAAGAATAAATCCAATGATTTGGCCCAAAAAAAAAAAAAAAAAAAAAAAAACACACACACACACACACAACATATACGCAATTCCCACTCAAAATATGTTTGAATATCTTTTTTTCATAAATAAATCATGACATTTTTTTGATAAAAATAAATCATGACATTTTATTTTCATAATTACGTAGAATCTTTTTTGAGGTGGATTAATATACATGACTTAAGTCATTAGCATTGCTATTTCGAACTAATTATTAACTAAAAAAATCTATTTTAAGACTAGTTCATGCATGACAAAATTGCCAAAACCTTCCCTGATATTTCCGCTATTTCCAGTAAGATTAACTTAACCCTCAGGGTAAATTTCAAGTTTCAACTAATTCGTTATTTTTACTTTTTTTTTTTGTTGTTGTTGAGAATGTTATCTTTACTAAATTTATCCTTTGAAAAAGCCATTCTGTCTGACCCATTATTAATAAATATATTAACCAAATTTTTCCCAAAATGAGCCAAAAATCTGCCTACTTTTTCCTAAAAATGCTTTAAATGTAATCTTATTTTTCCAAAGATGTACTATGTTGTTCTTTTTTCTTTTTTCAACTGTCTTAAGTCAGTATCAGTTATCTCTTTACATCTACATTTTTTTTAAAAGCCTTTTGGAACATTTTAGGACAACAAATCAAATCCATGGTCCGTTAAACACGGATTGTTATGCTGCAATTGGGGAACAAGCCATGTCACATTAAGCTGGTAATGCTCCTTTAGCTTTTTTATTTTTTTTATTTTTTTTAAATATTTTAATTAATTTAATTAATTAGTATTGAATATTGATCCCCAGTATCTATTTTAGCCTGAAAACTTTTCCTTATTCAACGAAAACAGTGTGTCACCAATAAAACCGTGCCATTTGGCAGAAACAATCCTAAAACCGCCAAACGGTGAACCATGATTTGCAAGATTTATTGACGATGATCTTCAAGCTGTACTATCCAATTCTTGTACATCTATTTGATCTGTTCACGTTTTGATATATTTAATTAAGGGAGATCTTCTAATACATTTTTTTATCGTTAGATGTGCGCGCATTTTCTAATTTTTATGTGTTTCTATATAAATTTAACGGATAAAAAATATAACTTATCAATATGTTAACGTATTATAGAATATTTTTTTAATTAATTTGGTTTATTAACTAATTCTTGTTTATTATTATTTTTCAATACGGAGAGAGAGAATCTTGATATGGTACACACCAAATCCCACACCAGCTGTTTGAGTAGATTTTGTTTATTATTTGGCTTTAATCGATAATGAGGGAACATTTTTTCCTTTTTTAAGGTAAAAAGTAGTCTGTGGGCTTTGGCCGGTTCCCAAATTCTCTTTTTTCTCTTTTATGCTATGTTTGGCACGAAAGAAAGAAAATTAGAAGGAAAGAAAAGTGAAGAGAAAGTAGATGACTTTTTTTATTTGGTGTTTGGTATGAATTCTCCACTAAAATCCTTAACTTTGAAAGGATGAAAATTAGAGTAATGGGGGTAGGATTTTGAATCGCTCGCCTAACATCTTCTCTCCTTTAATCTTTTCTCACTAAACAATCTCGAGTCCTAAAATCCATCAATTAGTCCTCCTATCCTTGTGTTTCTTTTCATTTTTCCCTCCCACTAAACAAGGCTTTAAGGGGGAAAAAAAAATAAAGAATAAAAAAAATAAAAATAAAAGTTTTGGCTAGAGCTTTATTCTTTCGTTTTTGTTGTTGTAATATTTAGTCATATTTATTTAAGAATATACCAAACGAAGAGTTGGACAGGAAGATATTCTTATCAAATTGAATAGAGAGAATATATTCTGTTCTGATTGTAGGCTCAATCTAGCGCCATCTGTTGCTCAAGTAAACAGTTGTTAAGTTGCTATTTGCATGCATGATGTTGGCCAACTAAAATATATGTATATGTGTGTATTAAAATCCCATATTGGCATGATTCACTTAATAAAGTGAGGGTAATCCTCTCATAACAAGCCGATTTTGTTAAGTTGAGTTATGCTCAATATCTTTTAATTTCTGTAAAATGGTATTAGAAAATGCCTAATTTTACAATGTTGGGTCCTCCAATATCGACTTATTTATAGCAGTTTGGCATGGTCCACGCTATGCGTGAGAGGGCGTATTAGAATCCCATATTAGCTGGAGATATTGATATGATCCACTTAATAAGGTGAGAATAATCCTCCCCTAACAAGTTGATTTTGTTAGATTGAGTTAGACCCAATATCTTTTAATTTCTGTAAATATATATATATATATATATAGAGAGAGAGAGAGAGAGAGAGAGAGAGAGAGAGAGAGAGAGAGA